AAAATTTGATATATTAACATCGCTTAAAAAAAAAAAAAAAAACAATGTAAACATAAGCGTAAAATCCGTCACGTTATCATCGTTCTAAAAAATTGTATTACAAATGTTTCACATGATAATAACAAAGGATCGAGATCATAAACATCACATAAAAGCATAGTTTACGAACTATTTTTATAGTTATCTTTTCACATTTTTTAATATAACTTTTTAACGTGTTTGAAAGAGACTCATTTCATTTCTAAACAATCGAATTAAATGTTCATCTCAAACGAGTAAACAGAAAAAAACGAAATAAAAAAAAATATTGAAATATATAATTACAATATTTTTAATAATTTATAAGCAAATTTTCGTATTTATCAATTCCTATTTTCCACATCTCATTTAAAATATGTAAAAATATTTATTTCACTGGAAATTATTTGGAAAATAAAATAATTAAAACTTTAAAAATTAATACTTTTTTAAAGTTTAAAATTAAAAAAGGGAATAAAAAAAAAAAGCAGAGAAAAAAATATTAATGACAATTTATCAATTAACGTTATAAGAAATAATTTTTTTTATGAAAACGTAACAAAAATACTAAATAAACAAAAAGCATTAATAATATAAGAAATATTTCTTAATGACAAATAATCATTCGTGAATATGAAACATGGCGAAGTAAATTTCGGTTGAGCCTGTAGGATATTTCCTGCGGTGGGCATATGGCGAGGGGTAGGGTTCCCAGAAGGTTCCCACGGTCAATAGCTTTCGTGGCGGTGAGGCTTGAAAGTGCTCGAGGGACCTTCCTTACTACTCGTTATTTGCAATATTTTCAAAAAAATCTCTTTTTCTGACGACGATTCAATGAAAAACTATATAATTCTATTATGAATAAATATATCATTATACATATTTATAGAAACAATAATTTATACAACAATGTAATAATATATTTTTATAATAATATCATAAATATCTTTGCTTTATCTGAAAATTAGCTGAAAAATAGCTTATTTCTTATAAATCTTAATTTCCACTGAAAATGACCATTTTTAATTGCTATCCATGTTATTGATTACCTTGCAGTCAAGACGAGGGAAACTTTGGGTTAGCTTCGTTAATTATTTTAAGCGTACATTGCTTGTTACATTTATGAAAAATAATTTATTTTATTTTAATTAGTAAATTTTAATTAATAAAAAGCCAACAACTGTTTATCATTAAATTTGTTTTATTAATGTTTAATTATTTTTGGTAATATTTTTTCAGAAATTCATATATAAAACGATATTATATAATAAATAAATAATGATAAAAACAATAAACAGTATGTTAACCTGATTTGATATGCAATTGAAAATCAATAATAATTTATTTAGATTTCATTCGAAATGAATATAGAAATCATAAATTGCTTAAATAGTAATTGAATTAATTTTTTTTAATAAAAATGATTTATTAAATTAGAAAATCATTTTTGTGCATAATTATTTCTTTATATCATTTATGAATACAACAGTAAATCAAAATGATACGTAGTATAAGTGCAAACATGACATTGCGTACAGTATATTGCGCGGCAAAACAATAGCTTTCATCACCGGAAATTCATATTATATCAGTAAGGTTTCCCGGTAATACACTCTCTTCCCGCCGAAAGTTATATAGAGATCCATTAGGTCTATGATGAATCACTCATTGAGTTCGATTTGACACACAAGCCAAGTGATTGTTTATTTTTATGGAGCATTGTACGCTTAATAAATAATTGCCATGGTGATATGATCACGGCCGCCTACGCTACGAAATCGACGGAGCGCGGCAAATGTATGAATCTTGTGACCGATCATGAATTTATCGTATCTAAATGGCCTAAAAATACCGGTTACAGAAGTAAAAAAATTCTCGAATCATCGAATTATTGGCAAATTAAGCGTATACTATTAATCGTCATAATTAAACACGAATGTAAATATAGATATATCATAAAGCATAATAAACTCCATACAATGAAAAGTAGAAGAAAAAAAATTGGCGTTGAAAGCGTCATGACTGCCCCCTTGTATCTTGACACTCGAAAGCTATGATGGCTCGGCGGGCCGGCAAAGAACACAAAATATTTTTTCATGATTTTTCGACAAGACTTGTATGAACGGCATATGATAAAACATAACAAGACCTACCGTATGTTTGACAATCCTTAAATCACGTCGTCCTCGCGGCCAAGCACCACTTTCACACATATATTTACAAGAGAATTATGCGATTTTTGGCAGCGACCATGTATAAACGGACACCGACACAAGGCCCCCTTTACGGAACTGAAGTAACGTTGACGGGAGGATAGTGAACAAAGACCACGCACGATTTCAAATTTCGTCCTGACGATTGGCCAGCAACGGTCACGTGGTTTTACCGCCCTCTCCTTATTGGCTGTTCAGTATGGGTTGTGAAGACATTTTAAACGATGTACTTATACACATGGCCGACCAAGGAATATGTACAAGGAAATTTTCTTTTTTATTTTTATATAGAATTATTATTTCTGTTAAAAATAACTATTTTTTGGAAATAGGTATTCATTAAATTATCAATGGCAACGATAGACACTGCAGTATATATATGAATGACAACAATTGCACATCTTCTCCCTTACCTTCCTCACTTCAAAATGGCCGAATCCAAACAATATATGAAAAATCAGTTACTGTTACTATGTTTATTTCAATATATTTTAATTTCATATATAACTTAAAAAAAAATTTCTATTTTTTGTTATTCTTTGAAAACAAAATATTTTACAACATATACTGATTGCACGAAAATTTTTTATGATAGGAGATGAAAACATCGGACGAGCCCATCATTCTAATAGAGAGGGGAGGGCGGTAGTTATCTTAAAAATGAAAAATAGCAATAATAGCATGAATATATATATATATATATATACATATATATAGACTTATATATATATATATATATTTATAGACTTTACATGAAAAAAGAATTTAATACAATTGTTATCCCGTAAAATGGATTTTAACTTACTGTCTCAAATTAAATAATAATAAAATATATTAGCATGATTATATTTTTATAAAATTTCAATTAAAATAAAATTTTCGATATTATTAAAATTAATAGACGACTTTTTCAATATATTTACTCTATTATACATAAAAATATATTATTAATATAACGGTTTTTGCTATAAGTTTTAAAATGGATAAATATATTAATATAAAATGATAAACGATTATTTAAACTATATATAAATATATATAACTATATATATATTATAGTTTAAATAATCATTTATCATTTTCATTAAAATATATATATTATTGTTACATATGTAATAAAAATTTTTAAAGTAAACTTTATGTAAAAAAAATTTAACACCTTTACAGAAATCATCAATTATAAAATGTTATATACAATTACGAAGAAAAAATATTTTGTACTATATTTCTTGTACTATTTTGTACTTGATTTATAAAAAGATTTCATAATAAATATTAAGTTATACAAACTCATTAGAAAAATCCATAAATACACTTTTTAATACCTGATTTAAATCAGTTCTGTTCCTCTTGATGAGATTTTCTTTTCCATATTGTTGGAACATATCATTCGCATTGATATTCTCTTAGAAACTTGTTTTCAATTATTTTCTAACTACCAAAACTGACAGTGTGTTGAAATAATGAATTCCATTGAATCATCATATGATTATATTAATTTTTCACTTATATATCGAACATTTTTCTTTTATAGTTATTACTTAGTAATTTGATATATTTATATAAATATATATAACATATATATAAATTATATTTTTATAACAATTATAAATTTTAAAATTTATGTAACATTTTTAAACTTTATGCATTATTGCACTAGGTTGTTTATTTACTTCATCATATTTTTATATATTATAAATATTTTTTAAACTTAATATATTGACTTAGACATTTGCTACTGCTGCTATAATTTTCATATATATTTCAATACCTTTTAAGAAAATGTCTTTATTCAAATATTCATCATGATCGTGAAGGAGCATTTTAGTTTTATTCATGGGTGAAAAACCAATAGCAGGAATTCCAACCTGGAATAGAAAACAATTCTTAAAAAAAAAATGTATTTAAAAATAATTTATAAAAATAGAAAATCATTACCTGTCTTATATATCGACTATCAGTTCCACCTGGAAAAATTCCTATTTGTAACTGTATTGCAAGGTCATCACATGCTTTTTTAAAAGCAATCCAAAAAAGATTAGAATCATCAAGTTTTGTATTTTCAACTTTAGGATTTTTTTGTTCAAATGAATATGTAACATCAGAACCAGCTTCTTCACACCATTTTTTAATCATAGCTTCAAACTCATAATGATCAATAGAAGGATCAAGTCGACAATCAAAAATTGCTGTCAAGCAAGGAGGTATAACATTTGGTTGTACGCCACCCTGAAATAAATTATTTTTTGTATATATAGTTAATATAATACTATATATATATACAAAAAATATACTATATACAATATATATAAAAAATATACTATATATTATAGATTTATTAATGTATAATATAATATATAATATAAATGATATAAACTATTTTTACAATTTACAATAGTAATAATATATAAAATAATAATTATGATACTACTATATTTAATTATTATTAAAATACTTACTGTGTATATTATTTTCCTAACATGAACAGTCATGTAATTTTTTAAATAAAATTAATTATATTTTTTCAATATAATAATTTAATTAAAATGTTTAAAATAATATAATATATAATAATCATGAATTAAGTGAATAAATTTAAAAAATTTACATACCTTCAATAATGTTAAATTTATAGTTGTAATATCACCAAGCTGTATTTTTGGATCTTCCAATTTTGCTTTCTCCTTAGCTCTAAAATCCATAAAACGATCAATTATGACTCTTATTTTTTCTCCAGCTGTATTATCCAGTAGAAGAGATCCGTGACCTGGATTGCCTGAACATTCTATTACAACATGCCAAATTGATCTTTCTCCATAAAACATAAAAAAACTTTCTTCAGGTGAAGCTACACCTTCATCTAATGCAAAACCAATATTTAAAGCTTGAAAGTCTTTTGTGTGTACAAAATCTTCCATGCCAAGAACTCCTCCTATTTCTTCATCTGGTACAAAAGAAATATGAATTGTTCTTTTAAAACGTTGTCCAGTAAGTTTCATACGGCGAATTGCTTCCAAATATTGAATTCCAACACATTTCATGTCCTGACTACCACGTGCATATATGTTTCCTTTTTCATCTATATGAGCATCAAAAGGAGGATAAGTCCATTTATCCTAAAAATTTTTCTTTATTAATTATATATATTATAGATTTATTAATTTTTTCCTTAATTTAATTCCTCAGATTTGACATCAGATTTGACATCTGTGCTATGTTAACTTATATTGCTTCATTTATAAGTGAAAATCATTTTACTTTCTTTTCAAAAAATTTTTTGATACTTTTATTTTTCAAAACATTTTTTTATATCATTTAGAATTATATTAAAGAGATTTAAAATAATTAAAAAAACAATTTATAGGATACTATATTAATATCAATTTTGCAATCTTTCTATTTGAAATTTGTCATATCTAAGGAGTTAATTAATAAATATGAATAATTATAATATATACTTCAAAAACAGGTACAACGTCCATATGACTATTTAATAAAATAGCTGGTTTTGACGGATCTATGCCTATCCATGTGAGAACCACAATTGGTTTTTTTGGGTCAACATAGTATATTTTGATAGGTAAATCAAGAGACTTTGCCTGTTTCTCAAGAAAAGCGACACAATCATCTGTAAAATAAAAATCTTAAATTAATATAGATAATATATATTAATTATAATAATTTTATCATTCTTTTTTTAGTAATATATAGATTTCTATATTTTTTTAGTCCAAATATAAGTTATTTCATTATTTTTGAAATTCAAAATTGTTTTCTGATGTTTTAATGTTTCATAAAAAAAATAATTTTATTTTTTGCAATGATTAACATTTTTTATAAAAAAATTTACAAAATTTCATATAGATTATCAATCATTACAATGTAACTAATATATTATGCAATAAATTATTTATAGCAAAAGTATTATTTTTTAATAATTGTTTATTAGTAAACTCAATTAGTTCAAATAGATATAAAAAACGAATAAGGCAACATAAAGTTTAAGAGAAATTACTAATTACGTACAATTTAGGTCAGTCACGAATCATGCTTAAATAACGATCGTATTCAAGTCATTAAATTTCCATTTTTTCGCGAAGTATAACAAAGTAGAAAAAATAATTTTGTAGAAGATTAAAATGCATATTGTCATCTTAATGAAAAAATATAAAAATAGAAATAATATTCCATACAGGGTGGGGCATGCAATGACTGGGTAGCGTCTCCGACGCTTCGAACTTGGTTGAGTTAACTGAGAGATTGTCTGTCTGCATAAATGTAGAAATGCGTGAGCATTGTGAATTAATTAATTAAGATTAATATGTAAAAATAGGGGTCTTGTATTCCATGAAAAATGTATGATTTGCTTAAGAAGGAAATGATCAATTTCATCCCGGTATGCAATATGTGTGCACGATTTTTATATACGATAATCGTATCTTTAAAGATATATATCTATCACATGTATATATATATATTATAATATATATATATATATATATATGTATATATATACATGTGAAATTCAAAAACTATTCGCATTGTTTATCATAGCAAATGATTTAGAAACGCTAAAAATTTAATATCTCAAATTGCTTACCATAATTAACGTTCGGTTGAACTGATGGTATACGTAAGTATTCACAAAAATTTTCTACAGCTGTTGCGTCCAACTGAACTTGGGACGACAAAGACATTGCGCTGTCTGCTGATCGTCGCGTCGGACGCTGCTGAGTCGACTGTCATAGCAGACGCCTGCCGCTTGTGCTTGTCTCGACCAATTGCGGTGATTATTAGCGATGACGTAGACGAGAATCGATCAATCGAAACGCGCGAACACAGATAGCGGGTTTGCGAGCATTTCTTTGAAAAAATAGACAGTAGATTAGAGATTACAAGTTCTGGAAAATTTTTGACCGTGATAAGAAAACTGACAATTAATTTATGATAATATCGTAGTATATGAAAATAGGTTGACTCCGGTATCAGATAACGAGTAAAATAAATAAGAAATAATTAGGAGATAATTTTTTTTCGAATCATATAGATATATGAATACAAAAGAAAAAGGTACACAGAATAAAAGAATTTTAAGACTTGTTAATTCGTAAAATGTATTCCGATTTATTAAATTTCATGTATGCCTAAATATGAGCTCTTTACACGTTACGCCATAATATTATATTCATATAGAGTTTGATATCGAAGAACTTGTTACATTCATTAATCGATAGTACGAATTAAATTATTATACAATATAGAATATAATGCAACGTGGCTAATAACTAGGCACATACATGTAACAGTGAATTGCAAATAAAAAAATTATGTATTTCGATACTATTATAAAGACGAACTCTTTTTTATATATATATAATTATACATCTACATATAATTATATATATATATGTATATATGTACATACAATAATATAATAATAATAATAATAATAATAATAATAA